GCAAGATGAACTAAAAACTTAGGTGTTTTATTTCCCAATTCTGCCTTATTTTGAGGGAAGTATTGTTTTTTGCACGTGGTTGATATTCAGTGACTGTGAAATCATTGATTAAAAATTTTAATAAGTAACCGTTACTGTTTAATGAAAAAAAAATTCACAGTTGATGTGATCAGATCTCTGTGTAAAGAACTTTCTCTTAACTATTTAGTCCTATGGTTCAAAAGTAGAGTTGGTCCAACATAGACTTGTTAGATTACATTTGACCTAAGAAGTAGTATTTTCATTTGAGTCTAGAACTTAAAACTATGTCAATAGGGTATTTGGAACATGTCTTTGAACTGCTCATGCTCTACGAAGAATGCCTCATTCTCATCATTTGTTCTGTTCAAATCTGTTGAAAATTTGGAACGTGTATGAGGGTAAAATAATGTAAGGTTTGTATATATTTGTAGAAGGTAATTTGCAAAGATTATGAGTCTGTTAGGATTTTTGAGCTGGGGGTTGTTGTTTTTTTTAAGCAATAATCTTTAATCTTTATTTTTTAAGCAGGATAGATACTGACTGATAGAGTGACTAAGTTTATACATGAGTTGGGTAGTAGGTTTCCCCTTAGTCATACTGTATTCAAATCACAAGTGTAAGATATGACATCCCATTCACACTAAAAATAGAACTGTGATTCTTTTTCCTTTTGAGTTAATTAGCACTCTCTCTGGTCCTTAATCATAGTTTTAAAGATTAACAAGTAAGTAGTCTTACTTATTTGACTTACTTGGAACTCTTTCTTTCAGCTTTTTGCCTGAATTCATCAGTGGAGACTTTGATTCTATTAGGCCCGAAGTTAGCGAATACTACGCTATTAAGGTAAATAAACCATTAGCACTTTTATATTTAAGATCATTCTCGTATGATTGCTTTTCCTATGTACTTTTTTCTGGTTTTCTTGGCATATGTGTAAGGATTGAGAAACTCATTGGTTACTTAAATTTTTTTTTCTAGCAATTATAACACATATTTGAGTGAAATTTTAGAAAATGACGAGTGGAAACACAATCTTAGAAATTTCCTGACCATCAGATAAGCATTAATGCTCAGTCCTTTAAGAATTTGTGTTTTTAATGAGTTCAGAGTGTATATGGCTCATTAACAATATACTATTGTTGTCTCCATCCCCAGTAGTTACTATCTATTTTTCACAAATCACTTTTAATTTCATTTAATAAATGTACTCTATTTTAAACATTTCCCAATTAATTTAAAATTTGTCCTTTTCTTTGCACTTAAATGAAAAAAAAATCTTTGTAGATGAATTTTTCTAAAAAAAAATCTAATTATGTGTTCCTAGAATTTTGGAACCCAAGTTTTTTTTTTCCTTTAATAGTTTTCTTGAAAGTATTATTACTCTGCTGTGAATAACACTGTTCGTTACAATTTGAAATTAACAGCAACGTACAGCTTACTAAGGTGTTCATGCTGTCACTGTTATCGTGCAGATCTTCCAGAGATCCTTGCCACTTAAGAACAATGTAAATATTCTAACTGAGATTGACAGACACAGAAGATTATATTGTAGTAATTAATAATTCAAGCTTTCACTGGCTTTAGAGGACAATGCAGGGTTTTTATAATGAAAATTACAGTGTCAGCAGTTCTAGCCACAGCACCACGATTTGTGTTGTCCTGAACTGGCGGTAGTAAACTACACATTTTTTTAAGAAACTGCAGTTACTGAAAGAAATTTTAAATTCCTTATAAGGGTTAGGGATGGATGAGATAAATTCAGAGAGAAGAAAGAGGAACACTTTTATAGGAGGAAGGAAAGAGGGAGGGAGAGAGGTAAGGGAGAAAGGAAGGAAAGAAGAGAAGAAAAAGAAAAGAAAAGAAAGAAAAGGAAAACAATTGTCGGTGAAGAAACAAGGTACTGAGGTTATAAAGTGTAGGCTGTTCTGACGGGAATTCCAGGGCCAGCAATGCCTGCAGATCTGTGCACATCCCAGCTGCCCAGCAGCTGATCAGACTTTCCGTCAGCAAATGAAGACCGTTCCCAAGTCAGTGTTTGATATTCATGCTCAATTACTTTAACATTGGCGTGTTTCTGTTCATTCCCCGCAGTCTCACTTCTCGTTAACTCCACACCTAAGCCTCACTGGGATGGAAAGCCCTCAGCCTTGCTTAGAATTCAGAGTTTTACAAACTTATAGATATTAATCATATTTTGGGGAGCAGAAGGAACAGCAGGGGAGGCAGGGACAAGCAGATTTGGAAACAAGTTAAAGATCTGGCCAGATGTGACTTTTCTCCCCCTCTCTTAAATACTGCCAGCGTGCCACAACCACACGTGTCAGCCTGACAGTTCCTGTCCAGGATGA